CTAAATAAAAACCTACTTTTTGTTTTTAAAGTCGTCTTCTAATTATAAAATTTATTAAAAAATAATAATAATAATAAATGATTTATAAATATTTTTAGTAGATGAATTCGACTTAAGTTTTTTGTTTTAGAACACTAAAACTAGCAAATACAATTAAGTGAATATGTTTAATTGATCAAAATTGGACTAAACTGAAATTAAAATGTTAATTACTTTTTAAAAATTATCGAATTTTTAATCTTATTCAAGAGCAATGAACATATACAGTGATCAAAAACTCATTTAACAGTTTTAATCATATTTAAGAGCAGTGAACTCATACCCAGTGGCTTAAAAACAACGTTTGAATTATGTTCTAGCACAGTTAACACACACAGAGTGTCCTAAAAACAATGTTTGAATCATATTCAAGCGCTATAAATTCACACAGAATGGCCTAAAAAATCAGTTAACAGCGTAAATCACTCGAATAAGCTACCAGTTGTCATTAAATAAGTCGTAATTTAACTTTTGAAGCTCTATAATTTGTGTCTTGAGCAACTGTGTGTGTATTATTTATTTTTCCTTCGATTGTATTGGAAGAAATTTGTAACTAAAAAAAAATAAATAAATAAAAATGAAAATAAATATTCTCTCTCTCTCTCTCTCTCTCTCTTTTAAAATAAATAATTTTTACGAATTTAAATAATAAAAACAACATTCCTAATTAAATATAGACTATACAATATACTTTACACTCTCCTCACCATTGTTGCAGTTGCAGTTATTCAACCCCATTGCGGGTATTGTAATAAACAAGAACGTATCCCATTACTACCCATCAGTGATCGAGTTTTCCTATCTTAACTTGACTTCTGGTCCAGATTGGATGTTCATCTATAGTTAATTGGGGCTCCTGCCTCTAAGCTCTCCATATCTAGTTTCGATTTACATGTATCTAACTCTATTCTCGAGATTAAGGAAGGACAAACAGACAGACGCATGCCAGCGGGAATTTCTAGATCAGCAATGCAAAAATTGCAATCCAATAAGAAGTGCCATAAAGACTTATAAATTTCCACTGTCGTCTATCGGTCCGTCTGTGTATAGTCTGTCTGTCATTCCTTAATCTCGAGAATGATGTTAGATAAATGAAATTCGAGACGAGATATAGAAACCTTAGCGGCAGTGGGTCTCAAATAGCTATATATGAATTTCCGATCCATATCGGAAGTCACGTTATTTCAATTCAAAAATTTTTACAATGGAGTTAGATAGATAACCGGGCACTACTCCTTTGCTAACGGAAAAGTATGATGTACAGAGGTAAGACATTACTAATTTGAGGTGGAGAGCATATATTTTAAATGAAATAAATTAAAAATAGCTCGAGTCCATGCGTAAATCTCAGAAATTTTCTGAGTGGGGTCCAATTTTCAGATGTTCATTGTGGCTCTGAACGAATCTATGACGGAGATTATAAATTCGGCACGGGCTCGGTACTCTTAGAGCCTCAGGGAAGAAATGTTTAAACCAAATTTTTATCTTTTATTTCGGTTCCATTTGGGCACTTTTAATTGTACCTATCTAGAATTTGGCCAGGGCCACAACTGGGCAACCGGCTGGTGAGAGATTGAACCCAATATATTCGGGATACACTACCTTCCAGAAAAATTCCAGGGGTGATCTACGGATTCGATCCCGGATTCACCAAAGAGGTAGACTAACGTCTTAACCACCTCTGCCATCCGGGCTAGATTTATACAGGGTGTATCAGAATGACGTTTTAAAAATTTCGGGGATTGTAGAAGATGAAATTTTGAACGTTTTGATATAAGGAACCTATAGCCGGAAATTTGAACTAAANGATTTATAAATATTTTTAGTAGATGAATTCGACTTAAGTTTTTTGTTTTAGAACACTAAAACTAGCAAATACAATTAAGTGAATATGTTTAATTGATCAAAATTGGACTAAACTGAAATTAAAATGTTAATTACTTTTTAAAAATTATCGAATTTTTAATCTTATTCAAGAGCAATGAACATATACAGTGATCAAAAACTCATTTAACAGTTTTAATCATATTTAAGAGCAGTGAACTCATACCCAGTGGCTTAAAAACAACGTTTAAATTATGTTCTAGCACAGTTAACACACACAGAGTGTCCTAAAAACAATGTTTGAATCATATTCAAGCGCTATAAATTCACACAGAATGGCCTAAAAAATCAGTTAACAGCGTAAATCACTCGAATAAGCTACCAGTTGTCATTAAATAAGTCGTAATTTAACTTTTGAAGCTCTATAATTTGTGTCTTGAGCAACTGTGTGTGTATTATTTATTTTTCCTTCGATTGTATTGGAAGAAATTTGTAACTAAAAAAAAATAAATAAATAAAAATGAAAAAGAAAATTGTAGATATTTGGACAATCAATAAAATTTAATTATGTACTGAATACTTTTACACAAATTACATTAACTTATAATTTTCATTAAGTAGATAAAATTAAGAAAATTTATTCTGTTATTTTTACATAAATTTTAATTAAGATATATTTAAAAAAAAAAATTAAGTTTAAAGTAATTTTATTTCGTCGTCTGAGGGTTTAAAATTAATTTTCCTTATATTATTATTTATAAATAATGCTATTCTTGCATATTTTGATCACAAAATTACATGATTTCTAAGTTAATTATGCATAAAAAAATCACTAATTGCTTTCTTTATCACATTTTACAAGTTAATTTAGATGTAGTTGCTAAGTTACATTTAAAAAATTCACATTTTAACTGAGGAAAATCGTAATTATGTTAAATTTCCAGCACTTCTATCCCGCATTAAGGCAACCAATTGCTTACTTTAAAGTTATTGGCGACAGTTCTTTATGATGCATCAATTATGAATGAAAGCTTTCATATCTTAAAGAACCGAAAACGATCAGATGAGAAGAGATTTTTATAAGTGAATAATCGTGTATCATTTATAAATAAATTTCTTTTTATCATCCACTTTCAGTTGAAGTTATGAACAAATATTACATTTATTTAACTTGATATCGTCCTTTCAGATGTTTTCTTTCATAAAAAATTAAGAAAATTTCCTAAATATCTTTTCATTTTAGAAAAAAAAGCTAGTAACTTTGTTGCATTCTTTATTTGTTTTCATTCCTAATAATTGCTACCATTACCTTTAAGTCTTCAGATTGGTTTGGGAGATATTAAAGGAAGCCATATCTCCCGAATAAATATTCCGATTTGCCTGAAAATTTTTACAAAATTTTCTCCCTTATACACAAACATTCGTACAAAATTTCAGAAATTTTTGACAAGAGACACAGGAGTTATTAAGTTTCAAAGTAGGTGACCCCCCACACACATATAGAAAAAGTCCCCCAATTTTTTGCACTTCTGGACGTTTCAAGATCAATCGAGTCGAAAAATTAAAAAAAATTGGGGTCGTATCTTAATCGGTAACCTTACTTTTCCTCTGTTATACATCCAAGAAAGTAAAATTGATAGTTTAAGTAGAAATTTTTATCGTTTCCTCACGTTTCCTAACGTATTTTCTTCATTAACTTTACTATTTGTTTACTTTATATTAATTTGACAGAATACAGAATGCAGGAGAAAATAATTGCATTATTAATTGTATATAAGATAATTAAAAATGCAATTAAAATCTTCCATTTATATTCACTTCTTATAAGCAAAACTTTATATTTAAATAGAGAATTTTCTCTTGTACGTAAAATATTTTTAAATTAGTTTAATTTAAAATAGAATATCTTATGTAAATGATATTCCTACATCGTTATCGTCGAATAATATTTGAAAAATTATATTCATAAAGTAAATCAACCTTGAGTATACTCAGTGTACTGAATATAGTGATAGAGTAGTGGATCATTACGTGTACATATCGATTTACATTCGTTTTGTTTTAGCTAGAAATAGTCTCTAGATTTTTTTATGTAAGGATTAAAATATAAATCATTATTTTCTGCATCACTAAAAGTAAGTTTTGCTCCCTTCTCCATTATCTCAACCCTATAAAACTTCGTCAATAAGGATCCTAAATATAATTTATCATTAGAAAATAAATAAATTCAACTTATAAAACTGGAATATTAAGAAAAATTAGGAATATTTTTATATATAAATTTAATTTAATTTTTTTTTTTTGGAATTTTTAAGGTATCAAAACTGCTTAAGAAGACAAATTAAGTATTATTTATGACAAATCTGAAAGCAGGCAGCAATTAGAATAATAGTATACGCAGTAATTAATTATTAATGTCAAATGTATTAATAATTTAATACAATAATCATGAGCCACGTTTAAAAATACATTTAAAAAAAAACGAAAAGTATCTTAAACACAATTTACATAACATTTTACATGTTTTTCAAATGTTATGCACTTAAAATTTTTATATTTACAAGTAAACTTTTCGTATAAATTCAAGTAGATTTATTATCAGTCCATTTTTTCTTGATTTATGTACAGGAAACGTACTAAAAATATTCGTACTAAACCAATATTTTAGTATGTTTTTATACTTACTTAATACAAGCATTAAAACACCAGAAATGCACTTACCAGTCAGTGTTTTTAAATCTAAACATTTGTATCAAGGTCCAAAAGCGACCCTGATTCAAAACCAAATTCTTGGTACTTAATTATGGTACATTTCTGTACCAGAATTAAGTGTAGAAAGCATTTAAATTCATTTTTTTGTACTTTAGTATTAGTGTAGGATTGCAGATGATAAACAGTTTACCTCCAATAGTCACTGTCCTCTGCCAATCCTTACGTTTTCTTCCCATTCAAATCTTCCTCTTCCTCTTCTATCTCTTTCCAATTTGTCTGCAAGCATAATTTTTATTAAATTTTCCTGAACACTCTGTTGTTTTGTATCCCTCACGAGATGTTTTCCTAGAATTCTTTAAACTTTTCCAGGACTAATTCAGCTATTTTATTTTACTTTAAAAGTATACTTAAGTACCGAATACGTCTTTAAATATACGTTTATGATACTTAAGTATCAGAAATGTATTGAAATATTTTCTGGTACTTAAATATTTGCATTAAAACCTTCATATCAATAGATATTTCAATGCATAAAATGCAAGAATTTGAACAGATAATCCATATTCTTACTCGTCAACTGGTGAATATGTTCTGTAAATAGCTATATTTGTATCTTAAAGTAAAATAATATAAATAAATTCTATGTAATTCAGTTTTTATCAAGATATTCAGGAAAATAAATGAGATTTTTTTGCTTATTTTTTACGTTAGGTACTCTCATAATAATCCACGAGCATAAAGATAAGGTGTTAGTCAGTATGTAATCAGAAGAAAAGGAAATCAACAGCAGTTTGATAATATGAAGATGTGAATCAGCTTAAATTTCCTAGTGGTGAGCAATTGAAACAATGATTTCTAATATATTTTATTATATAAATATTAATAATTATTAAGAAAATGAGTAAAAATTATTGTGATATCAGAATTTCGGTTTGCAATTTTTAATTACATATTTAATTTAAAAAAATATACGCTCTCGATTTTACTAGTGTCTTGCCCCTGTACATCATACTTTTCCTGAAAACATCAATTAGTTATTAATTTATCGATAAAATTATAGATTTTAACGCATAAATAATATAAAATATTTATTTTAAAATATAAATAATTCTATTTTTAACTACGAATGTTTTAACTATTTAACATTTTTGATATCTTTGATCATTATCGACAAACTTATAAATGTTAAATATGAACATCGTTATCAGATAACGAGTTTTTTTTCGAGAATAAAAGGATCAAATTCCTATTTTTCTTCTTCCTACGCATCACTTCTTAGTACAGAGGTGGAGAGATTTTTTTAATCTGAAGGTCACGTCTCATTTCAGAAAGATCGAGTTGTATGGCATGATGCTTAAGTGTATACATTCAGCATACACGCATGAAGTGCCTTATAATCTAATAAAATATATATTTTAAAGCTGGTTTTTAGTTAATTTAAGTAAAAACTGGCAGCCGAAAACTTATTTTTATACTTTATTAGGTGGCATTAGAAGTTACGAAAAGACATATTTCCTACTTCTTAATACCTTAAAGTAATAATTGACAGTAAATATACAAAATAATATATCTATCAATTTGTTTATTTTTTATTTATGACGTTATCGTAATGTGTATATGACAAAATGCTTAAATTAAATGTGGAAAAGAAGCGATTTTTTAGCAATTTCTTTTAATCCAAACGTAAAATATGCAAAGCTTCTAGCTTTTAGAACCTAAGAAACTTTGGTAGAAGCTTCTTCGATTCGTTCTAATATAATTTTCCTTAAATATTTGGTGTCTGAAACTCTAAAAGAGGTTTCTTCTACAGAAGAGAAACCTCTTTTACACACACAGATATAGAGAGAGAGTCTGAAACATTTAATATCATATACTCTGATTATTTTGTAATATATTCTAATAAACTGCTCTATCACAAAAAGAGAGCTTAACCAACAGAAAATAATTGGAAAAAATGGCAGAAAAACTACAATAAAATAAAATTTTTCAATTGAAAAACTAAATATTCGATTCGTATCATTTAATAAAAAAGTAAATGGGAATGACGAGAGATAAGTGCTCTTGAGCCTCTTCCTTTCATCTGCCTTTGGAACTGATACAGACAAAGAATTTAAAACTTATAATCAATAAAAAAAAAACTTTAAAATTTAAAATTAATTCTATAATAAGCATTTTAAGATTGTTTACTACTTTATAAACATGAAATTCTAAATGAATTTATTATTGATTACATAAATTAAATAAATAAATTAGTTTCGAACTGTGAATTAATTAATAAATTCTATACACAAATCTGATTTTTATCAGACAAGACGTAATGAAGTTTGTTTTTATTCATATTATTCATTCTGAATACTTAATTAGTAATTTAGTGTGGCCACGAATTGTCATTAACACTCTCTATTGCTTAGGGCTGCAGTGAGAAGCCAGAAATGAAGCATTATCATTTAAATATAACACTTGTCGATTTATTTATGTATATATTGAAACCTTCTCTTATTATTCGAATGTGTTGCCAATTTATATTACTTGTATAACCCCAGATATATTGAAACGTGCTCTATACGTATCAATAAATCTGGTGTTATGTAAGTAATTGTATTCCCTTATGTATGGCGACTTTAGGGACATCTTGTAGTATTTATTGATGCTCACTACGTAAAATAAAACCATAATTATTACGGAATGGTTTAAAAAACAGTAAAAATGCTCTGTTTATCCATTTTTTAAACGTAAAAACAGGGTATAAATGTGCTGTTTGTCACCCTGATAAATGTAGTGATTATAAGCGTAACATTATCCAGGTTAATTTTTTTTATATTGCTACAAAAGAAAATATGTTTTTTTAATTAAATATGCTTCCCTGAATTAATTAATTTTGTAATTTAATTACTGCTTTATATAGTGTAAATATATTCAGATAGTCCTTGACAGAAAATATGATTCTGTATTTAATCATCATCATCATCATCTAATAAAATTGTTTCCTTTAAGATGCTCTTGAGCAAAATAATTTTAATATTTCGATTTTATTAAAATTTAAAACAAATTAATTAAATATTAAAATAATAGCAAAAAAATTCCCATATTTATGGTACAAGTTTCTAAAAATAATAAATTAATTAACGTACAGTACAGTAATTTAATTAATATTGTTTTTTTTTCTTTTAAGTTAAAAGTTAACTCGCAACATCTTAATACCAATAAATATTTAAACTATTTTCGAATAATTTATAAACACTCCTTTTTCTTTATCGAGAACTTCATGCAATAATGATAAGTCTTCTGTATTTATGAGGTTTTCATCAAAAGATAAATATTTATAGCTTCAAAGTCGCGAAGATTTTTAAACCTCTTTCTTAAGAGAAAATATACAGCAACAGCAATGTTTTATTATAAAAAATTTCATAATTTTAAGTTGGAAACATTGTTGCTTGGCTCTCCTACCGTTCTTTGTTTTCATCCCTAATGATTGCTATCATTTCGGAGATATTAAAGTGTTGGAGTTTTATCTCACGAACTAATGGTTAGATTTTCCTGAAAATTTCTACAATCATTTCTATCTAACACACAAACCTCATTGCAAAATTTCAGAAATTTTCGACAAGAGGAACACGAGTTATTAAGCTTTAAAGTGTGCCCCCACGTAAACACTAACATTTATACACATAGAAGAAACCCCAACTTTTTATTTAACGTTTCAAGGTCTCCTGATTCCAAAAATGTAAAAATTATGGCGGGCCATTTTTATAATAGGTCATATTTTCCCTCTGTTACAAGATAATATAATAGTTTTCACATTAAAAGAAGAGAAGAGTGTCTAGCACTCCTTAGTTAACAATAACACTTTTTGGCACTCTTTTAATTTTTATTATTGTGAATTCTAGTTTGGCATCTTACTTTTAAAAGCTGTCTTTTCTATATTTTTCCTTTTATACAGTTTGAATGGATGCCAAATACCCTCGAGCAATTCTTTTTCGGATCCATATGACTTATATTTATTATGGAATTTTATTTTTATTAAACTAAAATTTCGTCTGGAATTAACAGGATCCGATGTTTAATGTCCGTCTGAGAAATTGGTTTTCTAAATTTCTATTATTATCGCGGAAAATCATGACGTCTTTCGATGTTAATTATAAGCTAGAGGAGTGAGAAACGTATTTAAGAATAAACAGATGTAAATTTAGGAATTTATTACGTCCTCTCGTAATTCCCTAGATTTTTGAGGTGATTTGGATGAGTACATTTATTAAGAATAGAAGGGAATTAGGGAAAATTGGAGGAAACTGGAAAGAGATTTATTAACATTATCGAGTTCTTTCTACTTTAAATACCGTAGCCATCAGTTGCAAATCGAATTATCTAGAGAAAATTACTTGTATAATTAAACAGCTCTCCGACTGTATCGGTCCGTAGGCGGTACTCTTCTGGTACTTGACGTCAAGAGCCGGAAGTTAACCTCGTAATGGTGTCGTCCGGCGGGTTCAATTATCGATATGGACTCGATCCATCCCGCAGCTATTTATTCAATGGATTCCATCGATACATCCAGCGATTACTTTTATAAATACTGAATACACTCGACACACCAGAGATTCGATAGCACATTCTACAGGAGATTTACATCCGGATATTTTAGTTTTTTTTTTATATAGTTTAAGTCGTATCGATTGTTTTACGGATTTATAAGCACTTTCTTTCTCGTGTTTACAGTTTTTCTTATCAGTTTACGTTCTCACAAGCTTCTATTCTTTGCTTTTCTTTGTTTGATTTCGTCTCCAAACTTCTTCTTCCCTTTCTACGAGGATACAGAGAAGAGTTTAGTATATTTGGTTACAGTATTAGGGAATTGCCGGAAAACAAAGGTTGAATTTCGATGAATGTAACGCAAAATGTATTTAGTTAACCGATATTCTAGACTTAGAAATGTCAGTTTAGTCTTTTAGTGATTATATTATTACGGAATAGTTTCGTGTGGGCGGATAATCTCGATAGGAAAGAAGAACCCAACTCTTAATCCTACTTTCGAATTAGAGGGAAAAAAAGTAAACAGTATTAACGTTTCTTCGGTTATTTTAAGCTACTGACTTTCACTGTTTATGTTGTCTCTTTCTTGCTTGAAATATTAATTAATGTTTTAGATACAATTTTCATTTTGGAAAGGAAAATTTCTAATTTAAAATAAAGTTCTTCACTTTCTGTCATTTTCATTTGTTTTTTTTTTTTTGTGCATTTTATTGATGTTTGTTCGTTTTAATCTGTTTTGTAAAAGACAAATCCCTAGCGATTAAAATAACTTCTTGTATATATATATATAGAATTGGGCTTAAAATTTAATTAAATTCTCTTTTCCATTTTATATTTTCTTTAAATTTCTTCTTGTTTTACGTATTTACTCCAGACGTTTAATGTCCACCGAGATGTTTAGTTTCTACATTATTTTATTCAATAATTTATTTCTTTAAATTTATTTCGATTCTTTGAAAATTATGAAAGGAAAATACTTTATTTTTAACTTAGTTCAATTTAAATTTTTTTATTTATTTTTATTTTTTAAACATAATTTCTGTTATTTTCGACTTATGTCACTCATTGTCAACTGACGTGAAGATAATCCCTTTGCTTATTCTCCCGTCTAATTTACATACAAGCAATTTCATCTTTCAGATTATTGATGAAATAATTTGCATATTGCAACGTGTAATTTCCGAATTTTCTTTATTAGTTATACTTTTATTTATTCTTTCTCTTGTTATATAACTAAGTACTATTGATATCGATTCTCGTAATCTGTGGGTGTTTTTGTCGTTTATATAATAGAATTTTACT